CTTCCAGCCGCACCCCAGCCGTTAGCGCTCTCCGAACGACTTCCTGAGTGCTTGTGGGTCTCTCCCCCCTTGCAATTTCATCCTTGACATTTGGGTTCAATCCTTCCCAAAAAAGGTCTCTAACTGGCGCCGAATCTTTATCCCACCCCAGCGCGTTGACTAATGCAAAAAAGCAGGAATGATACTGCCTCACACTGGCTCTCCCTTGTTTCAGCCCATGTATGTCCTTCCGGGCAATATCAACGTCTATGTTTGATAAGAAACAGGAATCCATCGCTTTAATGAATGCATCTGCACTTCGGAGCGCTGGATCCTTATCTCTCCACAGATTGCGCAGCCACGCTTTCGCGTCTCCATGCAAATGAGACAAGATAAACCCCACCTTCTCTTGCTCATCTCTAAAGTCTTTATCCAGCAGTTGCAGCGCAAACCGCACGTCTGCTCGGAAGTTGGGGTACTGTTGTAAATTCCCATCGAAATGAGATACAAGGCTGCCTCCTCTCTTCCCCAGCCCAATCCCCTCTGATCTGGGTCCCGGTTGCCCCTGCTTCGTAAGCACTTCCAACCTGGCTTGGAGATCTCTGCAGGCAGCAGCCGCTTCGTCTTCTCTCTTCCTGGATGCGATTATCTCCGCGTTGAGTTGTGTCACCGCATTTTGCAAGGCAGCTATTTGCTGTTCGGTAGTCATTTCGCCTGACTCTTGTGAGCTCGCGAGGCACCAGTCTTCTTCCCGCGCTGCGTATACTCACGCAGCGACGCCTTCGGTGAAGAGAACTGATGAAAATCTTCAGACGGAGCTTACTGTCAGAGACTGCCTCCAGGTCCCAGCTCACAGAGGACCAACGCTAGCCAGCGGTAATGTACAAAGGTCTTTATTTAAGTACAGTATCCATTTTCAAACCCTAGCGTGCGTCTCTACGTCTAGACACTAGACCGGCGAAGCTCCGTCTGAATCTCCGCCCCCTGTACACCAGCTTAAGACTTTGACCTTACTCCACCTCTTCCGTCTCTCCTTCCGCCTCTGGGTCCTACTACCCCCCGGGGTCCCTTCCTTCCTGGACGCTTCGGACGCGGACCCCTCTGACTCTTCCCCCTCCCTTCGGCGGGCTTTAGGACCTGGCTCCCTATCCGGGCTGCTCACTGCGCCACCCTCTTGTACGTTTGAACTTGGCGCGCGCGCCCTGTCTTTGACCTTCCTTTCGACCGTTTCTTCGCTCTCTGATGCAGGCGTGGCCAATCCTGACTCATGTCCTTCTGCTGACGGAGAGCTGCCTGATGCCGATACCTGGGACTCCTCCCCCCTACTGCTCTTTGGTGGGGAAGCTGGTCCCGATTTCCAACTGCTGCTCTCTGAGTCCCCTCTGGCCCCTCCTTCCTGGGGTGTTCCCCTTGGCAACCCCCTTGCTCTGACCACGGGAGCCCCTTCCTGTGAATCCTCCGATTCGCTGGAGAGACTCAGAGACCTCGGACGGCTGTCATCGCTAACCTCTCCCTCGGATTCCTCCCCCTCGGTCTCTATCTCCTCCCTTTCCTGTGCCTCTGCTCCTGAGCCCCTGACATCATTGCCCTGTACTTAGAACTTCTACATACCCTCCAACACTTCTCCAATGAAAATAGGTATGTCCTATTCAATTATTATTATTATTATTATTATTATTATTATTATTATTGTACACCGCCCATCTGACTGGGTTGCCCCAGCCACTCTGGGTGGCTTCCAACATATATAAAAACATAATATATAATATATAAAAACATAATAAAACATTAAAGACTTTTCTATATAGGGCTGCCTTCAGATGTCTTCTAAAGGTGTTATAGTTCCTTATCTCCTTGGCTCGGGGGTCACGTAACATACCCTCAAACCTTTCTCTGATGGAAATAGGGATGTCCTAAGGAAAAGTGGAACATTCCGGAGCCAAATCAGAAACCAGGACGGTTTCCGTAACTCTGGGACTGTCCCTGGAAAATTGGGACACTTGGAGGGTCTTCTACCAGGGGCAGCCCATCCTGTTTCGCCACCTGATGTGAAACAGGGCTGCCCCCTGTTCCCCCAAGGGGTGGGGAGGACGAGTGGCAGTGCAGTGGGGCGGAAGCAGTGGGGCGGCTGGAACGCCTCCTCTTGCATATCTGTCCTGAGGCAACTGCTGCACTTCGCTTAATGGGAGGAAGAAGAGTTTGGATTTGATATCCCGCTTTATCACTACCCGAAGGAGTCTCAAACGGCGTTTCCGTGTGCGGCTCTGGCTTGCCAGAGTAGCTTCGTCACGCTGGCCACGTGACCCGGAAGTGTCTGCGGACAGCGCTGGCTCCCGGCCTCTAGAGTGAGATGAGCGCACAACCCTAGAGTCTGTCAAGACTGGCCCGTACGGGCAGGGGTACCTTTACCTTTACCTTTACCTAAGGAGTCTCAAAGCGGCCAACAATCTCCTTTCCCTTCCTCCCCACAACAAACCCTCTGTGAGGTGAGTGGGGCTGAGAGACTTCAGAGAAGTGTGACTGGCCCAAGGTCACCCAGCAGCTGCATGTGGAAGAGCGGGGAGGCAAACCCGGTTCACCAGATTACAAGTCCATCGCTCTTAACCACTACACCACACTGGCTCTCAAAATGGCCGGCTTTGTCTTCTGCTCCATCAAATATTATCTGTGGGATACTTGCCTGAGGAAGTTTGGACTGACAGCCTTGTCTGTGTTTTCCTTCAGCTCGCTGCACAGGTCCTAGAAGAGAAAGGCATTGGTTTTGGATTAGTGGATTCCAAGAAAGATGCCAAACTTGCCAAAAAGCTGGGTAAGTGTGATCTGTTTATAAGGCTGAAGATAATCATGGGTGAATGTTGAGGGGATTCCAGTGTCACATATCCAGTGACCAAAGTCAAATTACGATTCGCAGAGCAGCCAATGTTCTGCTGGGTGTTTACACATTACCGCCAGCGCCTAGGCTTCCCTTGCCAGGGCCCTGATCCAACAAGATGCGCTGCAGCGGCCATCTGGCCTCAGGCTGGCTGCAATGAGGCCCTTGCCCAAATTTCACTCTAGAGCAGTTGATGAATTCAGTCTTTCATATGCAATTGTTCCAATGATACCAGCGTGAACGAAACAGCCCTTGACAACAATGACATGGCTACGCTGGAGCAAAGTTAAAGCTGCTGTACTTCTGTGGTAGTTTAAAAGGACTGTGCGGGTACTTAAAAATAGGTATGGCACTCAAAGTGAGAGCCGCCAATAGCAGGGGACAAAGCCTCAAGGAGGAACAGAAAGTGATGGAGAGGAGGCAGAAGACGGAGATTGTTGGAAAGGCTTGGAGTAGGACCTGTAAGAAACTACGGTACATTGGTAAAGGACACAGTTTATATTACTTGGGAAGTTACCTCTTTGGTTACACAAACATAGACTCATAGAATTATATTAATGGAATACGCACAGCTTGCAGATTTAACATATAGAATAAGAGAACACGAAGAATGTACGTTTATGGGTGAAAATTGTTTGTATGGGTGAAAAATGCTTATATGGTTGAAAATTGTGTTTATTTAAGAACGCTGGTAGCATTAAGATAAATTCAACAGTGTAAGTAAGTTTTGATGGATGTAACAATGGATTACTGAATGGTTTACTTCATGTAAAATGTTCAGGGATGGATGGTATGCAAAATGAACCACAGAAAGAGAAGAATGGAAGCCATTGATTAAAGTTTGTTTAAATGAATATTTTAAAATGTAAATGAGATGATGATGATGATGATGATGATGATAATAATAATAATAATAATAATAATAATAATAATTGTCAGGGCCGCCTCAGGTCCCAGCTCACAAGAGACCAACGCCAAGTCCACTTTATTTACAAAAGTCTTTATTGAAGTACATTGTTTGTTCCACAGCCGAGGCGCGCAGCCCCACGTCTGTTACGCTTAGACCGCTGAAGTCCCCTCTGAATCAGTCCCGCCTCTACACCAGTTTAAGAGGCTTCTGCTGGTCCACCTCTTCCTGTCCTTTCTTTTCCGCAGGGTCTTTCTGCCCCCCTGGGTTCCTCCCCTCCTGGATTCCCCTGACGCTGAGTCCCCAGACACCTGCTCCCCCCTCCTCCATGCTTTGGGACCAGGCTCCTCCTCCGGGCTCTCCGCATTTCCGCGCGCCTCCACATTTGAACTTGACGCGCGTTCGCTACCTCTGACCTTCCTTTTGACAGTTACACTGCTCTCTGTACTACTCTCCGCCCCTTCCGGCAGGACGTCTTGCCCCGATCTCCTTCCCCTCTCTGCTTCCTGCTCTGCTTCGTCTGTCACACTGGGAACTCCACCCTCTTCACTCCGTTCCGGCGGGGAAGCCGGCCCCGATCTCCAACTCCCACTCGGGATTTCCCTGCTGCTCCCCTGCTCCTGACGAGTCCCCCCTGTGGCTCCCCTTGGCCTGACCAGGGGCGCCCCCTTTTGGGAATCCTCCGACTCACTTGAAAGACTCATGGAAACCCTCAAGTCATTGTCATCCTCCTCCTCCTCGTTCCGGGATTCTTCCCCCTCGCTCTCAGTCTCCTCCCTCATCTGTGCCTCTCTCCCTGAACCCCTGACAATAATAATAATAATAGAATTATAGAGTTGGAAGGGAGCCCGAGGGTCCACTGGTCTAATCCCCTGCAGTGCAGGAATTGCAACTAGATCATCCTTGACAGATGGCCGTCCATCCTCTGCTTGAAAACCTGCAAGGAAGGAGAGTCCACCACCTTCCAAAGGAGTCCAAAGAAGGGAGAGATCAAGCCCCCAGCAGGAGTAAAGGAGACTGAGAGAGACATGGAGGCACTGACATCTCCAGGGGAACTGGATTGCCACACAATGATCTTGGCACAGCAATGGAAGCAGAGGAAGAATTCAGTCTGTAGCTAACGGTGGTTGATTAAAAGGAGAAGATGGAGACAAAGGGCAGTCTCCAAATAACTTGTTTCATCAGTGCAAGGATTTACATGTGCGCAATGGAACACTCCACCATACACCCTCAAATCTTTTCTGCGTTCCCCCCTGAACCCTCCAGAGAAGATTTGAGGAGGGCATGGGGAGAGAAGAGGGGGGAGGTTTCTGTTAGAATTCCTGCTCCATGATTGCAGTCATGGGATTGTTGTCTATCACATGGCGGTGTCTGTTTTGACTCCACAGAGTGGGAAGTGACGGAGACAGGATGTTTGTGTTACTGTGTTCCATGAAGTGGGACTATTGTCCTTTGTTTTTTCTCTTTGCTGTCTGATGCTAGAGAGAGAGGGAGCCATGTTGCAGTGCTCCATGTGTGTTTATATGTAAATAAAGTAGTTTAGCCAAAATGCTGAGTTGCTGAGGTCTGTTACGCAAACTGCACAGACTCTGCGGATCCCTAAGTGTGCCAGTGTCTGTTGGCATTGGTCTCAGTGATATTCAGGCAGAAGAAAGCTTTTGAAGCTCCCGAACCAACAACCAGGAGGGAGAGAACATGCCAGTCGAGCATGTGTGTTTTCCAGCGTCCTACACGAGTGTAGGACAAGCTCCTGACAGTTTCATTGCACAAGTGGAAATCCTTGTGCTGATAGAACAAGATAGTTTCATACTGCCCAGAGATGTTTTATTGTCTAGCAAGAGGGAAAGGACCTGGAGGAACTGAGTGCAACACTCTGAAATATTTAAACAGTTAAAAGGAATATTTGCTGTATACTGTGACCCTGGAGAAAATGGAACTGTTGGAGGGTATGCCATCTGAATCTTTTCAACTCCAGTCCCAGGACTGAGGGCTCATCCACACCTTTGTTTGTCCTATGATTTATTTTGCCAGGCAGAGCAGCAGGACAAGAAAAGAACTTTGAAGTCACAGGACAAATAGGAGAAATTGTGGGACAAAGGGCAGTGTGGATGAGCCCCGACTGTCCTTTGTTCTGTTTCAGATGCAGATATTGCTGGCACCACCTCCAGCCAAGGAAGGCTGTTCACCTTCCAGAAGGGTCTCCAGCTAACATCACACAGCAGATTCTTAATAGACCCAGTGTGGCCATTTTAGCAGGCTCTTTTTCAACACCATCCAGTTTTACAGCTATAAAATCACAGGGCTGGAAGGAACCTCACCAGCCCATTTAGTCTAACTGCAAAGTCGTTGCTCTCTCTGTATGCCCTTTCTCCAGGTCTGGATGAAGAAGGGAGCCTGTACATCTTTAAGGAGGATCACATCATCGAGTTTGATGGGCAAATGGCTGCAGACGTCTTGGTTGAATTCCTCCTAGATGTAAGTACAAACAAAACCAGAACTGGACCAATAAATTCTCCCACATTTATAGTTGACATAATGTATTGGTGTTAGTGCTCTTTGCAACTTATGTAAGACCTTATTCCAGTGGCGTAGCGTGGGTTGTCAGCACCCGGGGCAAGGCAAGTAATTTGCGCCCCCTAACCCGTGGATTTGCACCCCCTAACCCGTGGATTTGCCCTAACCCCAGATGTTGCGCCCGGTGCGGCCGGCCCCCCCTGCACCCCCCACGCTACGCCACTGCCTTATTCTTGGTCTCCGGGCAAATGTAATATATAAGCCATAAATTGTGAATGGAAACGTGTTTTTGTCTAAAAAGGGCTGTTCTCAACGCTGTCTCCTTTTTTCTCCAATACTGTTCAAGTAGAAATTTTGAACTCTTGTTTTGTTCCAAGCTTGGCCACTACCCAAGACTGCAATCCTGTGCACATTTAATTGGGAGTAAACTTCACTATATACCATGGGACTTATTTTTGAATAGTTGTGCATTAGATTGGACTGCATGGCCACAAATCGTAACACTAGAAAGTTAGCCCACACAGGGTTACTCCTGAGTGAACTTGTTTAGGATTATGATGCAATAATACCTGTTATTTCTGGCATATTCCCTAAATGCTGATTCTGAAGATTTTAATATGCAGACAATGCCATTGAATCAGCTCTTGTAGAGCCGCATCCTCAGCACCTAGTTTGTATACAGCAATCTTCCCTGATCTGTTTTGGACTATAACACCCATCACTCCAAGCCAGCATAACTGGCCAGACAGATGGGCATTATAGTAAAAAATATCTGGCCAGTGCTCAATACTATGGAGCCGAGTGAAGAATCCCAGATGGCATACAGAGAAATAGTCCCACTTGATGAGACACTTCGGACTACAAAAGTTACATTAGTAAAAGAAAACAGCATTTTGAATGCATTACAAACATGCGACACCAGATGGTGCTGGAGAGCAAAAAAAAATCAACTATGTTATTTTCCATAGTGTTTTTCCCCTTTTGTTATAATGATTTAATTTCTGATTTATTTATAGCGTGTTTTTCCCCCTGTTTGTAGATCCACCCTTTGTTTCATATTAGGCAGTAAGCACCCCATTTACATTGCTAATAAGTTGTTCTTGACCAAATTCTTTCTTCATGGCAGCTGATGGAAGACCCAGTGGAGATCATCAACAGCAAATTGGAGCTGCAGGCCTTTGACCACATGGAAGAAGAGACCAAACTCATTGGCTACTTCAAAGGAGAAGACTCAGAACGTAGGTTTGGTCGGGGGATTCGTAGGTCTTGGCGGATTCTGAAGGGGTCTCATCCAAATTCTGCAGCAAGATAGACAGACTTGCTTAAGGGAGCTCTGTCCGCCTTGCTACCGAATTGGTCTTGTGATGCAATTCCCGTGTTCTGTTCAGCATGTTAATGGAAAACCGAAAGAGGTCACGAAATGTGTGCAGTGGAGATGGAATGCAAGGGGTGGGTGGTGCCCTTGCTCCCATCCTCAGCACATCCAAAAGTCTGAGCAGATCCTAAGCGTGTAGGCTTACACACAGAAGGAAAGTTTCTCATCCCCTCCTGCCTCCGCAGACTCCTGCATCCCCCTGAACAATGTGGGATGGAGTGCAGGGCAGGGGCTGTCCTTACATGAACTTCCTGAACCATTCTTAGGCTCCAAGCTTGATCTGGGGTGATTAGATCCACCCCTCTGTATAAGTAGCCCCTTGTGCCCCTTTATACGTTTTTCGGGAGAGCGTCTCTCACCCTCTTGAGGCATTTAACTTTTCAGTTCAAGCCACAGCTAGGCAGCCCTGTTTAGGGAAGTTTTTAATATTATACTGGGAGCTGCCCAGATGGGCGGGCTATAAATAGTAAATTATTATTATTATTATTATTATTATTATTATTATTATTAAACTTTTCAGTTCAAGCCGCAGCTAGGTTGCCACCTCCATGAACCTCTCCTAACTACATAACATTTTCACTTTCCCATTCACTGCAAAAGCCAGAGAGAGAAAACACATGTGAGCTCTTGCAAATCCACAACATGGATTCCTTAAATTTCAGAGCTGGATGCATGTGGTTTTCAAACGAGGATAGTATAGACAAATAAATCTCATTTTAAAGGGTTCTCCGTGCTTTTGAAAAGTGATATTTTAACTCATGTCCCGTTTCATATTATGAGAATAGCTTGGTTTTGTGTTTTTCCCTCTTTCCCACTTATTCTGTGAGGAAAGAGGGGCTCCGTAATGGCAGAATCAGGCCAGGCTGCATAGCACAGCAGCAGCAGCAAGGGTGGAAATGCAGGGCTGGTTTCTAGACTGACTACCGTGGGAGTTATTTTTGATCCAGCTTTCAGAAGCTGATGCCAGTGCATGTGTTAATCTTCATTTAAGATGACCAAATGGGAAATAATCTTCTCCTTCCTTTCTGCTTCTCAGATTACAAAGCATTTGAGGAGGCAGCGGAACACTTCCAGCCCTACGTCAAGTTCTTTGCCACCTTTGACAAAGGGGTAAGCAGCTGGAACCCCGCAAATTCCACAGAAGAGCTGTTAGGAAGGATTGCAGCAATGGCTAAATCTGGTGGTGGTTAAATAAGAGTCATGCCAGGGGTAGGCAACCTAAGGCCCGGAGGCCGGAAGTGGCCCAATCACCTTCTCAATCTGGCCCGCGGACAGTCCGGGAATCAGCGTGTTTTTACATGAGTAGAATGTGTCCTTTTATTTAAAATGCATCTGTGGGTTATTTGTGGAGCACAGGAATTTGTTCATTCCCCCCCCCCCCAAAAAAAATATATAGTCCGGCCCACCACATGTTCTGAGGGACGGTGGAGCGCCCCACGGCTGAAAAAGGTTGCTGATCCCTAAGTCATGCAATACTCCCATGGCAAGGGAGTTTGCCAGTTGTTCACTGCGTGGCTTGCAAGAACTCCTGTTCAGGGTCCTAGGTGTTGGGGCAAGTGTGTAAAGGAGAATTCTTGAATGCCAAGATTCAATTTTGGGGCAAGTACTCTTTGGAGAGACAACCTTAGCAGAGGTTTAAAGTCACAAAATATGCAGCAAAGTAATGTGTGGAAACATAGGCTCTTAGACATTTTAAATATCCCCTACCAAGTAAATTCCAGAATGTCCCCTTCAAAAGTTTCTTTCCAAACTTTCCCGTTCCCCCCAGCACAGGAAAAAGACCACGTTTAGTAAGCACGTTTAGAGTTTACTTACAAACTCTCCAAAGGTCAGAGTCATGTGCTTTTCCATACATCAGTCAGAAAAGTTACAGAGGCAGTAGCACTTAGCTTAGTTACAAAGTGGTGAAAGTTCCTAAATTATTGGTATAGTAACTCAAGAATGGCTTATGAGAGCCGGGTGGTTGAGCTGATGTTTGTGTTATCAAAATTGTTTTGTGAATTACCGCTGCTGAGAATGTAATTATCATTATCTGTAGTTTTCAAAAATTAATCTCCCTCTGACTTTACTTTTTACAATCTCACACCCAATTGTATATCTGTGTACCTGCAACTCAGGATAACACTTCATTCCTCTGATGAAGTGGGGTGTGGGCCACAGTTTTTCTTGCCATTTATATTGGGACTTGATACTCAAACCTCGATGACTTGGAATGAAATTCAAAAGAAGATGAGGAGTGTATTCGATTTCTTTTGCATTTTTCTTAGCTTGCTTCTTTTTTGTGTACAGTGTTTCATAGTTGTTAAGGGGCATATAAAGGTCTTGTGTATTTCTTTATTTGTGTGAAATAATCATTCACTCCTATAATCTGCCCACATGTAACAGTATCCTTGCCATCCGAGTTTCCACTTTTCTCAGTTCCCACATTTTCTGAAGTCAGGTGGATGGTGACCAGTGAAATTGTATTTTTGTTCTGGCATCTTGGCTGTGGGATACTGTCCCTAAGGAGACTCACTCAGTGCTGCCGATCCTGATATCTCTTCCGCACCAGATAAACACTTTTTTTTGCCTGATGCTTTTAATGCTAACTTGTTTTAGATCTTTTCCTAGCAACTGTGGATGTTCTTGCTTTAACTTATTAATGTTGTTATTTGTGTTGTTAACTGCAAGCCGCTTAAAATATTTGGACTAGATGTAAATTATCATAATAAATTATTGTATATGAATATAGAAAGGGGATTTTAAAACTGTGCATGTGGGATTAAAGAACAAACAAACGAAAACTGCCATCCAACCTTCCTAGATTCAATTTTGCTTTGTTTGTTTTCAGAAGAGCATTGCTGATTCTGATGATAGCAGTGTTTTTGTTGTTATGAAAGTATGTAGTGCTATATTTCTTTGTTGCGGTATTTTAACTTTCCACATACTAACATGTTGAATAATTCCATCATTCAGAAAGTATTCAGTGTGAGCTGACAATATATTAGAGAGAAATGTTTTTCAGCAAAAGAAATGCCCATAATTTACCAGTGTCTTTGCTTGTTTATAGGTTGCAAAGAAACTGGGCCTGAAGCTAAATGAGGTGGATTTCTATGAGCCTTTTATGGATGAACCAGTCCATGTCCCTGACAAGCCATATACAGAAGAAGAACTGGTTGATTTTGTGAATGAGCACAGAAGGTATCAATCATGGAACTCAGAATAGTACCCCTTGTCCTATAGGGTCAGGGCATCCCAGTTGCAGTGCAGACCCTCCAAGTGTCCCTATTTTCCAGGGACCGTTCCAGATTTACAGAAGCCATCCTGGTTTTTGATTTTGATCCTAGAACATCTCACTTTTCCCAATTTAAACGGAGAAATGTTGACAGATGTCAGGGGTTCAGGAGCAGAGGCAAGGGCAAGGGAGGAAACAGAGAGCAAGGGGGAGGAGGCAGAGGAGAAAATGAGTGATGACGACGACCCGAGATCTCCGAGTCTTTCCAGTGAATCAGACGATTCACAGGAAGGAGCACCAGTGGCCAGGGCAAAGGGGGAGACTAGGGGGACACCCCAGGAAGATAGAGCCAGAGGGGACTCAGAGGGGAGCAGTTGGAAATCGGGACCAGCGTCACCGCCAGAGAGCAGGGAAGAGGAAGGGTGCCAAGGATCAAGCGCTGGCAGCTCACAACAAGGGGGAGGGCACGAGTCAGGAGTGGCCACACCCCCATCGGGGAGCGAAGAAACGGTCAGAAGGAAAGTGGCAGGTTGGGCGCGCGCGCCAAGTTCAAATGCACAGGAAGGTGACGCAGTGAGCAGCCCGGAAAGGGAGCCAGGTCCTAAAGCCCGGCGCAAGGAGACAGAAGGGTCCGGGGGGTCAGCGTCAGAAGAGTCCCGGAAGGAAGAGACCCAGGGGGGCAGAGGGACCCAGAGAAGAACAGTCAGGCGGAAAAGGTGGAGTAAGGCTAGCCATAAGTTGGTGTACAGGGGGCGGAGATTCAGACGGAGCTTCGCCGGTCTAGCCATAAGACGTAGAGTTGCACGCAGCAGCTTGAGAATGGAAACTGTAACTCAATAAAGACTTTTATTTAATGATCGCTGGCTAGCGTGATCCTCTGTGAGCTAGGATCTGGAAGCGACTCTGACAGTAAGCTCCGTCTCCTGTCGTGGGCATCTTCAGCCTCGCGGACAGAGGAAAAGGGGGGTGCCCACGACTCAGCTCACGAACGGCAGACAGGATGACGGCCGAAAAGCAGATAGGAGAACTCAGAGAAGCAGTGACACGGCTGAACGCCGAAATACTGGCATCCAGGAAGAGAGAGGAGGACGCAGCTGCCGCCTACAGAGATCTCCAGGTCAGGTTGGATGTGCTCACGAAGCAAGGGCAAATGACACCCAGACCGGAGGGGATTGGGTTGGGGCGAAGAGCAGGCGGTCTAGTCTCTCACTTCGATGGGAATTTACAACTGTACCCCAACTTTAAGGCAGATGTACAGTGTGCACTGCAACTGCTAGACAAAGACTTTAGAGATGAGCAAGAGAAAGTGGGGTTTATCATGTCCCATTTGCATGGAGACGCTAAAGCATGGCTGCGCAATTTGTGGAGAGATAAGGATCCAGCGCTCCAAACAGCGGATGCCTTTATTAAAGCGATGGATGGCTGTTTTTTATCTAGCATTGACGTGGATCTTGCCCGGAGGGAGGTGCATGGGCTGAAGCAAGGGAGGGCCACCGTAAGACAGTACCAAGCCCGCTTTTTTGCTTTAGTCAGTGCCTTGGAATGGGACAGGGATTCCGCTCCAGTCAGAGATCTCTTTTGGGAAGGCTTGAACGGCCCAGTTAAGGACGAAATTGCCAGGGGGGAGAGACCCCGAACTACGCAGGAGGTCGTTCAAAGGGCGCTGGCAGTTGGAGTGCGGCTGGAGGAACGCCCATGGGGCAGGGACGAAGGACGTGGAGGACGCGAACCAGCCAGGGGCTCCTCCTTCCTTCCCAGAGAAGCAGCGCGTGCGCAATCCACGCCTCCGCCAGGAGGGGGAGCGGAACCGATGGAGGTGGGAGGTGCAAGGGCTCAGTCAGCAGCCAGAGCCCTAGCACCGGCAGCAGTGAAAGCGAAGCCTCCTAGAGGGAACAGGAAGTGTTACATATGTGAGGATCCACAGCATATGGTGAAAGAGTGTCCCCGGAGGTTCCACAAGCACACTGCAGCCTCAGCTATGGTAACTGCAGCAACGCAGAAAGCAGAACCGCAGCAGGGAAACGAAGGAGTCTGGCTGGAAGAGGCACTGGGGCCCAGCCAGACGGGTCAGTGAAGCAGTCCCCAGAGATTTTACAGCCCACAGACCCCCTCCCACCCAAGCCAGTGGTGAGGCTCACCGCGTCGCTCCAGCTGCCCAATGGACTCACCTTGGACGTACCTATCACCATTGACTCAGGAAGCAATGCGGACTTTATAGGGCAGGACTTTGTCGACCAGCACGCTATACAGTTGCTGCCTGCCACGCTGCCCCTGCAGGTTGTCACGGTGGATGGCAGGGAGCTGCTAGGGGGGCAAGTGGTGAAGCAGACGCCTCCAATGGTGATGCGACTTGGGAATCACAGGGAAGTCATCAGCTTCAACGTCACTCAGCTCTCGGACACGCCCATTGTATTGGGCATGAGTTGGCTGGACAAGCACAGTCCGTCGATGGCTTGGAACCAGAGGCTGCTGACCTTCGGCTCTTCCTATTGTGCTGAACACTGCATCATGCCCCGGCAGGAAGGAGAGGAAGAGGAGTCACAGCTGCAGCTAGGCACGCTACAAGCGGTCCCCCACAAGTACGCAGAATTTTTGGAGGTTTTCTGCGAGAAGGAGGCAGACAGGCTACCCCCCCACAGACCATATGACTGCAAAATTGACCTGCTGCCAGGGGCGGCGCTGCCCAAAGGGAAGCTGTATTCCATGTCTGAGGACGAACTGCAGGAACTCAAAGAGTTCATAGATCATAATTTGGAGCGCGGTTTCATCCGAGAGTCCAAGGCAGCGGGGGGCAGTCCAGTATTCTTTGTTAAGAAGCGGGACACGCCCCAAAAAAGACTCGTAGTGGATTACAGGATTTTGAACAGTGTGACTAAGCCATCGGACTTCCCCATGCCCCGAATCGACGACCTCCTCGCAAAGGTACGGAAGGGCAGAGTGTTCACCAAGTTGGACCTGCGGGGGGCGTACAACCTCATTCGCATGCGGGAAGGAGATGAGTGGAAGACAGCCATGTTCACGCCCCTGGGCACCTACGAATATAGAGTTATGCCGTTTGGATTACAAAATGGCTCCCACGTTTTTCAAGCTTTCATGCATCACGTGTTGGCGGGGCTACTCTACAAGACGTGCGTCTGTTTCTTGGATGACATCCTGATCTTTTCGGAATCGCAGCAGGAGCATGACAGACACGTCAGGGAAGTGCTGAGCAGGCTGCAGCAGCATAGCCTTTACGCCAAGCTGGAGAAGTGCCAGTTCGACGTGACGGAGGTGGATTTCCTGGGCTACAAGTTGTCTGACAAGGGGCTCGCCATGGACAGCGCCAAGGTTCGAGCAGTGTTGGATTGGAAAAGCCCACGCAACCGGAAGGAGGTCCAACGGTTTGTCGGCTTCGCGAACTTCTATCGCAAGTTTATCAAAGGCTTTGCCATGCAGACAGCGGCCATCACGGACACGCTCAGTTCCAAGAAAAAGAAGTTCATCTGGACAGAGCAAGCGGAGCAGTCCTTTCAGGCACTCAAGCGTCTCTTCGCCTCGGAAGAGCAGCTGCTTCATGTCAACCCCAGCAGGCCGATGAGGGTGGAGACGGACGCTTCGGACAGAGCCGTGGGAGCAGTCCTGCTGCAGAAAGACCCGCACGGGGTTTGGCAGCCGGGAGCGTTTTACTCAAGGAAGCTCAGCAAGTCCGAACAGAACTACACCATCTGGGACAGGGAGTTGCTGGCCATTCATGCAGCATTCAAAGCGTGGAGGCACTTCCTGATCGGCGCCAAGCACACAGTGCAGGTCTGCACGGACCACAAGAATCTGGAGCACTGGCGCACGGCACAGTTCCTGAACCAGAGGCAAATACGTTGGGCTGAGTTCTTTGCGAATTTCGACTTCCGAATAGAGTATGTTCCGGGGGACACCAACATCATGGCGGATGCTCTCTCCCGGAAGCCACAGTATCTGGAGGAGGCGACGCCAGCGGCAGCCATGCACATCTTCGCACCGACAGTGTGGGCGTGCGCCGCGGCAACAGTTGACCTGGAGGCGGTGCGACGAGCGTTGCAGGATGACTCCTTCGCGCAAGCGAAGATGGCAGAGGTGCACAGGGGCACGGCAGTGAACGACGAGTTCCAGCTGCGAGATGGGTTGCTCATCCGCAAAGGGGCCATCTACGTGCCGGGGGACGACCTTCGCGCCAAGGTACTGCAGCAGCTGCACGACGCGCCCACTGCCGGGCATTTTGGCAAGGAGAAGACGGCAGAATTAGTCGCCAGGGGCTTCTGGTGGCCCGGAATGAGAAGGGAAGTCGCGGACTACGTGGCGAGGTGTGACACCTGCCAGAGGGCCAAACCAGTGCACAGACCGCCGGCCGGACTGCTGGAACCGCTGCAAACTCCGTTCGAACCGTGGGAGAGAGTGGCCCTGGACTTCGTCACGGATCTGCCCAGCTCGAGGGGCAAGACGGTTGTGCTGGTGGTGGTGGACTTGTTCTCCAAGATGGCACATTTCATTCCGTGTGCGAAGGTGGCCACGGCGGAACAAACAGCCAAACTGTTCATAGACCACGTGTTCAAGGTTCACGGGCTGCCGCGGTCTATTCTGTCCGACCGAGGGCGGCAGTTCATCTCGAACTTCTGGCAGAAGCTGATGGGTTTCCTGAACGTCAAGATCAACCTGACGTCGGCTAGACACCCGCAGACCAACGGGCAAGCGGAGCGGGTCAATGCCATCATGCAGCAGTACCTGAGATGTTATGCGAATCAACAGCCGGCGACGTGGGTGGACTACCTGCCTCTCGCCGAGTTCGCCTACAACAACACGAAGCACGTGTCCACAGGGGTCACGCCGTTCTTCGCCAACAACGGGCGGCACCCCAGAACCTTCCCAGGACTGGAAAGAACGGGGGGAGGGGAGCCGCAGACAGCAGATGCGTTCGCGTCGGAGTTGCAGGAGGTCCACGATCAGCTGCGGCGGCACCTGGAGCTGGCTAAACACGCATACAAGGTGCAAGCGGACAAGAACAGGAGGATGGGCGAAGAGATCCAGGTGGGAGACTGGGTCTGGTTAGCAGCCCACGCAGTGCCGACCAGGTCGCTGGCGAAGAAGAAACTAGGACATAAACAACTGGGGCCCTACCAAGTCGAAGAGCAAGTCAACCCGGTGGCTTTCCGGCTGAAGCTTCCGGAGGGCTCCAGGATGCATCCGGTGTTCCACAGATCGGTGCTCACTCCCTACAAGGCACCCCACAGGTTTCAGGAACCAGGAACGGCACCGAGTCCGCTCCGAGAGAGAACCGAGCAAGGGGGAGTGGCAGAGGGGGAGCACATCAACGAAGTCACGGAGATTTTGGACTCCAGATGGGGGGAAGAGGGGGTAGAATACCTTCTCGCCAGGGAGGGCACCCCAGCCAGTGCCAACAGCTGGGTGCCAGGCTACGCTTTAGACGAACCTCTGCTCAAAGAAGAGTTTCATGCCCTCTTCCCACATAGGCCCATGCCAGCAGAATTTTTCGACGACTGGCTTTTCACGCCCACGCTTTCAGCCAGCACGTTCCAGGGTTTCGACTCGGACGAGGAACCGACACGAGACGCACGTTCCCCGGAGGGGTCACCCTCGGGATCTGCTTCAGAACCCTCGTATTGGTGGGACGATAGACCAGAGGAGCAGTGGCGCAGAAAGTGGCTGGAGGGTCCAGGACGAGCAACGTCCCCAGAAGAAGAGGAGAAAGAGACGGACATGGACATATTCGGGGACGACCCGGGGTTCGAGCACGGCGGCACGGAGATGGAAGCGGAGGTGACCGTCGTCGACGAGAGCGGGAACGAAGAACCGGAAGACTTCAGTTGGAGGCCCGCCACGGGAAGTGAACTGTATCCGACTTTCGTCCCCCGGCCACGGCAGCACCCAGCTCCCGCACCGGACGGAGGGGAGGGGGGAAGAGGGGGCTTCGAGGGGGGGATGGATGTCAGGGGTTCAGGAGCAGAGGCAAGGGCAAGGGAGGAAACAGAGAGCGAGGGGGAGGAGGCAGAGGAGAAAATGAGTGATGACGACGACCCGAGATCTCCGAGTCTTTCCAGTGAATCAGACGATTCACAGGAAGGAGCACCAGTGGCCAGGGCAAAGGGGGAGACTAGGGGGACACCACAGGAAGATAGAGCCAGAGGGGACTCAGAGGGGAGCAGTTGGAAATCGGGACCAGCGTCACCGCCAGAGAGCAGGGAAGAGGAAGGGCGCCAAGGATCAAGCGCTGGCAGCTCACAACAAGGGGGAGGGCACGAGTCAGGAGTGGCCACACCTCCATCGGGGAGCGAAGAAACGGTCAGACGGAAAGTGGCAGGTTGGGCGCGCGCGCCAAGTTCAAATGCACAGGAAGGTGACGCAGTGAGCAGCCCGGAAAGGGAGCCAGGTCCTAAAGCCCGGCGCAAGGAGACAGAAGGGTCCGGGGGGTCAGCGTCAGAAGAGTCCCGGAAGGAAGAGACCCAGGGGGGCAGAGGGACCCAGAGAAGAACAGTCAGGCGGAAAAGGTGGAGTAAGGCTAGGGTATTAAGTTGGTGTACAGGGGGCGGAGATTCAGACGGAGCTTCGCCGGTCTAGCCATAAGACGTAGAGTTGCACGCAGCAGCTTGAGAATGGAAACTGTAACTCAATAAAGACTTTTATTTAATGATCGCTGGCTAGCGTGATCCTCTGTGAGCTAGGATCTGGAAGCGACTCTGACAACAGATATGGAGTTGTGCGACTCCCAAGCCAAGGAGATTAGTAACACTATAAACTTTAGAAAACATCTGAAAGCAGCCCTGTAATAGTTTTACTGTTTTTCTAGATGTTGGAAGCTGCCCAGAGTGGCTGGAGCAACCCAGTCAGATGGGTGGGGTAATAATAAGAATAAGAATAAGAATAAGAATAAGAATAAGAATGGAATAGACGTCCCTTTTTTCATCAGAGAAATGTTGGAGGGTATGAGTTCAGGTGTCTGTCTTCCCAATCTGTCTCTCATCTGAGAGTGGCAAACATCCTATTGAAGGCTTGTGTTTTACAGGCCCTGTTATTGCAGGTCTCTTGATTATTGTGTCCAGTGTGGTGTAGTGGTTAAGAGTGGTAGACTCGTAATCTGGGGAACCGGGTTCACGTTTCCGCTCCTCCACATGCAGCTGCTGGGTGACCTTGGGCTAGTCACACTTCTCTGAAGTCTCTCAGCCCCACTCACCTCACAGAGTGTTTGTTGTGGAGGAGGAAGGGAAAGGAGATTGTTGGCCGCTTTGAGACTCCTGAAGGGGAGTGATAAAGCGGGATATCAAATCCAAACTCCTCCTCCTCCTCTTCTTCTCCTCCTCCTCCTTCTCCTCACAGCCTGCACAAAAACCTCTTCATGAGTGATTTGCAGATATATGGTAACTCAAAATGGGGGTGTACCAATAGACCAATAATTTGGAAATCCTGCAGGGTTTATTTATTTGTGAAAAGAACAATAGAATGAAGGGTTCCTGAGAGGCTCACAACATTATAATCTGCATGGCCATGTTTGCACCCACACACATACAGTACATGGATTGCAATGAAGAATTATTTGCAGCTTGTGTTGCCCAGGGATGTAGCTAGGATTTGTGGAGATATGGGCCCACCACCTGTGCTTTAGATCCTTGCCCATCCTGGCTAATAAAAGCTGCCAGAGAAGGTCTGGCCACATAGGTTTGTGTTGTGCCCAATTTCTCTTTTTAGCAAGGTATAATGCCATCTGGCTTCAAGTAAGAGGAGGGAAGGCCACTTTTTGAAAAGTTGTCACTGGACTTGACAGCATTGCACAACTATTGGTCAGTCTGAAATAGTTCCTTAGGGGGCAAAGTGTTGCCCAAACAGAAACAGGTGTTGGTGTCTTGGTTCCAGGTTTCCCTGGATGAAATTGATTTCCTAGGCCCATTTCAATCTGGCTTCAAGTCTGGTCGTGGAACAGACATGAACTTTGCTGCCTTAGTAGAGGACTTTCACAGGGAAAGGGAGTGCGTTCCTGTTGATTCTGCCAAACTCTTTGGTGGCATAAAATACCATAAATCCTTCTGGATGTTGGTGGTCACCATTGTTGCTAACCCTTTAAAGGTATGCAAATAGTAGGTGGGTAGAAAAAGATACATTTAACTTGCCCAAAAATGGAAATCAGAAGAAGTCCTGACGGAAGAAGAATGGATACAAAAATTTGTGGAATATGCAGGAATGGCGAAACTTACCAGAAAAAATAAGAAATCAAGATAACAAACTTTTGATAAAAGAATGGAAATGGTTTATTGAATATTTACAAACAAACTGTAAACAGATAAGAACAGTGGCAGGATTATTGTAATAACCTGCAGTTTTATAAGTGTTTGCATTTAAAGTAGATGAATAAATGATTAAGTTAATTTGGAATATGCAGAAAATATAAAAAAATTAATTGAAGGAACCGCAGAAAGAGGGGGAAGGAAGTTGAGTTTCAAAACATTAAAATGATTGTAAAATTATTGAAATGCATAAAACTGAAAATCATAAATAAAAATTATCAGAAAAGGCCTCTCCTCTTCACGGAGGGCAGGTGTTGTGAGCGGGAACCACTTCCCGCGCTGGCAGGGGGCGTAACTCAGCCCCCTGCGTCTCTGAGTCTTGTGCCCACGTCACGCTCACCAGCCAGCCTATACGGCTGGGTGGGGGCATGGCTTAGCTGTATTTGAACGATTGCGGGCACACAGACTCTCCCTTCTTGTTCCTGGCTTCCTCGGATCACCCGCCCACCCTCCCTTAGGTTTCTTCCTTCGTTTCTTGACCTTGCTATGGACTTCGGTTGGTCGCCTTGGTTGTCCAGGGGGCCTGGTAGGAATTTTTTCCCACTTGGCAGATTGGTACCAGCCACTTGGTTTTTTCGCCTACCTCATAGCAACTCGTCACAACTTTGTCAGGTTTGGCTGTTGTGTGTCGGCGGGGAGGCTGTGGCCATCACCTACCACGCCCCTTGAAGGGGAGTTAAAGGAAGCTGGAGGTCGTGGTTCCTGTCCTATGCCCTGGAGGTGGCTAGGGCCATGGCTCGACCCCCAGTGATGCTAGGGGAAAGCTTCCAGTTGATTTGCATCAACAAGTTCCCCCTACTGGCTGTTAACCCTTGTGCGTCTCCCGGCAGAGCGGGCAGGAGTCAAGTATAGTCTGTCCGATCCAATGCCTAAGCCAATGCCACTCACATTCTGTAACCAATAAATTTGTGGCCTTCTTAGCTCACTAACCTAAATACTTGTGTCCATGTGTATTATTCTCACTCCAAGTGGGGGTGGGGCCTCGACTCACAAAAGAAAAAAATACAGTGGTACCTCGGGTTACATACGCTTCAGGTTACATACGCTTCAGGTTACAGACTCCGCTAACCCAGAAATAGTACCTTGGGTTAAGAACTTTGCTTCAGGATGAGAACAGAAATCACGCGGCAGCAGCAGGAGGCCCCATTAGCTAAAGTGGTGCTTCAGGTTAAGAACAGTTTCAGGTTAAGAACGGGCCTCCAGAACGAATTAAGTTCTTAACCCAAGGTACCACTGTACATGATATGTTGTGCCCGGATAGGGTCTATTCCTCCTTGCTCCCACGTTGTTGCTGTTTGTGGTAATGGAAATTGCTGATTCTCCCGTATGGTTTGGAATCAGACTTACTGCAGTTGCAAAAAAAGATGGACCACTGTGTCCATCTGGTTTACGCCTGCCAGTGGAAGTTCCTGTCTTCTGAGTCTACTTTTGTTACACATAATCTCTTACAATCATAATCACCATACAGATTCACCCATAAAACTGAGGTCTCTATTCTTTCTTTTCAGAGCCACACTGCGCAAGCTGCGCCCAGAAGATATGTTTGAGACCTGGGTAAGTGAAATAAATTGGGAGCACTGGGAGCTGTAGGGATGGGGATATTTTCGTGAGAAAGTATCTAGACTAGCTGCATTGTCAAGCACGCCCATAAAGAAGACTCAGAATGCAAAGTATATGGTAAAATTGTTATGCTTGCTACAACCAAATCCAAGGCATCTGGGAAGGTGGATTATGTCATAAGGAAGAATCACAGCCCTCGGATCTCCTGGGCATGTTAACAGCTGCAAACCGCAGCCATGCAGCAAAGAACTGGGAAGAAATTACCCCCCCCACACACACACTTGCTACTTGAAGCTTGGGTATGTGAACCTGGGACTCGTGTAGCTCTGCTATCCAGCATTCACTAGGGGGGCACCCTCAAGGACCAACCCCCCCCCCAGTCAAAGGCAGTATTCATGAAAATAGTGTACACAAATATAAGAGAAATTGTCATATGCATATATGGCAAAATCACAGATAAACCAAAATGGACAGATCCATCCATTGGTAGTTGAATGGCAGCCTCTGTTCTCTAACACACTGGCACTGGGAGATGCTAGGAAAATGAAGCCCGGGTTTCTTCCACTGCATCAGAGATGAGCCTTTGCCACTTGTTTAATGAGTTATCGACTTTGGAATTGTGTTTGTGCTAAGACAGTTTGAATTGTCTTGTGGGGCGAGGGGGGGGTGGAAGAAAAGAAACACACAAACCACACATTACAGTGGACTATTTTTGCTCTCATTTCAGTAGTAAATCTGCTCCAAACATCTCTAAAGCCTCGTTCTTACAATTCCCCCACCTTCCCCCAGAGATGTTTTCCACTTATTCTTTTAGCTCTTCATTTTATGGGGGTTCTGTAACTGGTGGGCTCAGAGGGGAAAGAAATTAGCATTTAGATGGATTTTTTTCCTCTTGCATTAATACCAATTGAAATTGAAAGCTGGGATTGGTGGAAGACAAGGAACATGAGGGTTTTCCATGGTATAATTCCAAGATGACATTCATAGCAGGTGCACAATAAACAACCTGACTGCCAACTCAGATGGCCTTTGCCAATATAATTTTCATTGTGCCCAGATACCCAAGGCCTTGCTGCCAACCTTGTGGCTTTTAGGAAAGAAAACCATCCCAGATTTATTTTTTATTTTTTTTAAATGCTAACCTTTCTCAATTCTCTTTTCCTCTTATTAGATTTTACAGACACCCCTGCCAGGATCTTTTTGTTCCTTTCTCCCATTCCTATGCCCCAACTGTCCCCTTCAATTCTCACTTTTGGACAGCACCAGAAAGAACCTTCTGTGATTGTTTGGTTGCCTTGTTTCTCATGAATTGGTCTAGTGCTTTGCCTTACAAACTTTATGGGTGATCACGACCTGTACGAAACCACTTTAATGGTCCTTAATGACTTGGAGTCCATCTACAGTCTTTGAAATGTTATACCCATCAGAATTTTGTAGAAAGGTGGGAGCCCTCTTAACTTCGTAAGCGTTCCTCATACAAAGTTACAGGAGAACCATGCAATCATGCCTCCTATGTTGGCCTTTCCATCTTGCTGTATAAAGTTGAATGCATAAAAGGAGTCCTTACATGCATACAACTGCATATACAGAAGGCTTCTTTTGTTCTTCAAATAATTGAAAACCCTGATGGTGTAGATCCCTGATGGTGTGGAAGCCCAACATTTGTGTTCAGCCATACATATTTAGCTCCGAAAAGCGGTGATAAACCTAGACAGCATCTTAAAAAGCAGAGACATCACCTTGCCAACAAAGGTCTGTATAGTTCAAGCTATGGTTTAAGTACAGTAGTGATGTATGGAAGTGAGAGCTGGACCATAAAGAAGGCTGATCGCCAAAGAATTGATGTTTTGAATTCTGGTGCTGGAGGAGACTCTTGAGAGTCCCATGGACTGCAAGAAGATCAAACGCATCCATTCTTAAGGAAATCAGACCTGAGTGCTCACTGGAAGGACAGATCATGAAGTTGAGGCTCCAATACTTTGGCCTCCTCATGAGAAGAGAAGACTCCCTGGAAAAGACCCTGATGTTGGGAAAGATGGAGGGCACAAGGAGAAGGGGACGACGGAGGATGAGGTGGTTGGACAGTGTTCTCGAAGCTACCAGCCTGAGTTTGACCAAACTGCAGGAGGCAGTGGAAGACAGGAGGGCCTGGCGTGCTCAGGTCCAGGGGGTCACGAAGAGGCGGACACAACTAAATGACAACAATGTGGAGCAATCAGGGTTGGGCAGAGTGATTTGCTGATCTTCACTATCTGATGTGTTCTTGCTTGCCATTCATACATTCACTGACCACATGATGGAGTTGTGTGAAAAAGGCTGGAGTTTTCGGTTGGGAGTTTTCGATTGCTGGGGTTTGGGCCACAGGAGAGAGCTGGTGAATTGACTAAATACAATATTTAGTCAATGGTTGTTCAGGTGCAGTTCAGATTAGTAACTGTGCTACATGTCTTAGACAGAATCTATGTACTCCCCAAGTCTTTTTCTTGAGTCATTATAAATAAGTGGCTTGCCATATGTGTTCTGGGACACTTTGTCCCTCTGCAAGAAAAATAACTTGTGGGGGAAGAGCCTTATGGACCATGGAACCTGCCGATCAATCACAGGAATAATAATAATAATAATTTATTACTTATACCCTGCCCATCTGGCTGTGCCTCCCCAGCCACTCTGGACAGCTTCCAACAGAATATTAAAAACACAATCAAACATCAAAAACCTCCCTAAACAAGGCTGCCTTCAGATGTCTTCTAAAAGTCAGATAGTTGTTTATTTCCTTTACATCTGAAGGGAGGGTATTCCACAGGGCGGGCGCCACTACTGAGAAGGCCCTCTGTCTGGTTCCCTGTAACCTCACTTCTCGCAATGAGGGAGCCGCTAGAAGGCCCTCGGAGCTGGACCTCAGTGTCCGGGCAGAACAATGAGGGTGGAGACACTCCTTCAGGTATATTGGGCTGAGGCCGTTTAGGGCTTTAAAGGTCAGCACAAACACTTTGAATTGTGCTCCAAAATGTACTGGGAGCCAGTGTAGGTCTTTCAAGACTGGTGTTATGTGGTCTTGGCAGATGCTCCCAGTCACCAGTCTAGCTGCCACATTCTGGATTAGTTGTAGTTTCCGGGTCACCTTCAAAGGTAGCCCCACGTAGAGTGCATTGCAGTAGTCCAAGCAGGAGATGTTACCATAAAGCACCAATGCTGCAGCAAGCAAAGGCTCCAGCAGCTCAGTCAGCTGCTTGTGGCTGGAAAGCCAGACAGGATGTTTGTGACTGTTGCCATGGAAACAAAGGGGCAGTCCATTCTGTACTGAGCACCGGATGTTAGCTCAGTGTGTGTGTCATATGACCCGTACTGGAAGTACATGGGTGGAGTTTCTTCTTGCTGTTGTCGAGTGCAGACATGTTTCTCTGTACTGATATGAGAGACAGAAATAAAAGATGTAAATAGTTTTCTGTCTGCTTCTTTCCCCTCCCTGGGGGACACCAAAGGGGAGAGAGGAAGAACGGTGTGTTCCTCTCACACATCTGAGAAGAATCGCCGAGACCTCGCCTGCTTATCAGCAGAGTGGAGACGCGGGGAGGTCGACAGGAATATCTGCCGGTGCCTACGCTATGGCACATTCCTCTGACCCAAGCAGAATTCCAACAGTGGCAGCCTTCGGATGGTTGCGATTCATCGGACATCTGGATGAGAGGCTGGTGAATTGTCCTCCTCTGCTCCATGCAAGCCTGATTTGAGAGGCTGATTCTCTGCAGCCAGAAGCTGACCAGAAGAAGCTGACAGCCAAGCCGATGCTCAAGGTATGAGACTTTTAAGGGCTTAGAAGTGTGAATGCAGAATGATTCATTCTCTGCTTCACGGAGAGCGTGTGTGGGAAAGCAGCTCCAACTTAGAAGAGGCCTGCATACCAGGCATTTTTGTGGTTTCCTGTCCGAGGAAAGGAATGCGCTGTTGCTAGGCAACGTCCTTCAGAAGGCTGTGCCTCAGTGAGGAGAATGGAAAGTTATTCGAGAGGGCTGGACAGTCAGACTATGCTTCAGAGAGGCGAAAACAAAGTTTGTTATGACTAGGTCCTCACGAACTGCTGGAAGGGACTTTCCAACGCAGCCAGTGTCAGAGTTGCCAGGTGTCAAGCGTGTAAACAAGCCAGCTATTGGATTTTAGAGGCTTGTGTTTTAGAGTCAATGCAAGGACTCAAAATGGATGCCAAGAAGGGGGGAGGTTTGCCTTCTCCACCCCTCCTGACCAATGACAATTATTCATCTTGGTCTGTAAAGATGAAGGCCCTGCTGCAGAATCAGAGGCTTTTTGAGGTGATTGAGAATCCCATCCCAGCAGCACCAACGCGTGCTTGGGAGTCACAGAATGTGAAGGCTAGGACTGCTATAATTCTGTGTGTCTCAGATGAGCAGCTTGTGCATATACAGCATTTGGAATTTGCGAAAGAGGTTTGGGATGCGCTGCGTACAACGCATCAGAGAGATGCCGGTTCTTCAGCGTTGCTGTATTTTGAGAAGTTGACCAATCTGAGATTAGCGCCTGATGGAGATGTTCAAGCGCACCTGACAGAGATGAAGTTTCTGCGTCAACAGATGGTGGAACGCAATTTCCGTCTTCAGGAGGAAGTGTTTTGCTTCATGATGATAAACAGCCTTAATCGCACCTACAAGGTTGTTGCCAGTCAGCTTGGTTCCCTACCGGCCGCGCAGCTAACCGCGGAAAGAGTTTGTGCGGTGGTCCTGAATGAACACGACAGACTTGCTGCACTGGAAGTGAAGGACAGGGGGAGGAAAGAACAGAGTTCAAATCTTCCCACTGCTGAATCTACTAGAGAGCATGGAGTAGCACTGAGTGCTGTTCGATGCCACAATTGTGGACAGACTGGGCATCTACAGCGAAACTGTAAGAAGCCGCGACAGTCAAAAGGAGCCAAGAACAGCTCTACGAAGCCTGAGACGTCAAGCAAAAGCCGTACCAAGTGCCAGGTGAAACCTGCAAAGGCTATGATGGCGAAAGGAACCGCGCCAGATGTTGGGAACGCATTCATAATCGATACCGGCGCCACGAAGCATCTCTGCCCACACAGAGAACTGTTTTCGACGTTGAAGAAGCAAAGCTTCACTGTGAAACAAGCCAACGGTCAAGAACTGGAAGCGACCGGAATTGGGACTGTGTATCTTGAGAGTCTGAACTTGACTATAAGCGATGTTTACCTGGTTCCAGAACTGAAGTTTAGTCTGCTGAGTGCTTCGCAGATTGCAAAGAAGGGACTAAAACTGTACTATGATGCTAAAAGATGCAAGATCTACAAAGATGGAGAACTGTTTCTTACTGCCAAAGAGAAAGATGGACTGTATTTGTTGACTTTTGATCAAAGTGATTACATGAAATGTAATACTTCTGATTCTAACGAAATTTCTCTTGCAGGTCTGACCAGTGTGAACACCAAGAAGGTGGCTAAGAAGGTCCACAGAGCATTTCAGCGGGTGTATGCTGATGTGATTGGTCCTCTAGAACCATCTAGAGGCAATGCAAAATATTACCTTTTGTGTGTGGATTGTTTCACTAATTATTCTTGGGTTTATTTGATGGAGAAACCAAAAGAAGCCTTAGAAAGGTTTAAAGAGTTTTGTGACAAGGTTAAAAGTATGCATGATGCTAACATTGATTGTCTTTTCACAGATGACAAGCCAGTTTTTCTTTTACAGGATTTCCAGAAGTTCCTGGATGGAAAAGGGATAAGACACAAACTTGCTAGTTCCGAAGAAGCATGGAAGAAATGTGTCTGTGTAAAAGTGAACAAAGAATTGCAAAAGGGGATGCATGCGCAATTGCTAAGTTCACATTTACCACATGAATATTGGGCCGAATCTTTAGCGTCCTATCTTCATGTGTGGTTGAGAAAAGTCTCAACAGAGTTGGGATGTTCTCCTTTTGAGAAGCTGTTTAATAGAAAACCTTCTGTTGCCTATTTCAAGGTTTTCGGGTCTCATGTGAGAACAGAAACTCCAGGTGGAGTAAAGAATGCCAGAGGCATTTTCGTGGGTTATGAAAAAGGTCTCTATAGAGTAATTTTGTCTGAATCTGGTCAGGTGATTCTCACAAAGTTTCTAGAGAGTGCTCCAGAGCAAGAGCGAGTAGAACACACATTTCCCACAGGTGGCAATTCAGATGATGATGATGATTTTTCTAATGTCACAGGTTACAGTGGTACTGACGATGACAGCGATAGCTCAGACAGCTCAGTTGTCACAGTCATTGAGAGGAAATCTCAAATAATGACTAGACCCTCAGAAGAGGTGGATGAACCACTGATTAAGCTTACTACTGGTTCTCCAGAGAGTTCAGAGGCTGAACCAGAAAGCAGAGAAGAGAAGCAACTCTTACGCAGGTCTGAGAGAGCAACAAAGGGTGTACCACCCAAGAGGTATTCAAAGGAGTTTGCTAACCTAGCATATGTTGCTGTTGTAAATGATCAAGGACAGATTGAAGATGTGTCTGAGTCAGAGACAAAGGCACAACAGAGAGTTGTTAACCAAGGAAATGCGAAGTCACACAACCAGAGAGGTACATTGGTTAAACCAGTGGCGGGTAGTTCCAAGGGTGGAACTGAAACAACAGGGGAATGTTATAAGTATAACAACTGTTTGTTTTCTTCTCTGGATGACGCTTTGCTCGCAGCACGCATTGATACTTTAGGGGGAGTATGTTACCATAAAGCACCAATGCTGCAGCAAGCAAAGGCTCCAGCAGCTCAGTCAGCTGCTTGTGGCTGGAAAGCCAGACAGGATGTTTGTGACTGTTGCCATGGAAACAAAGGGGCAGTCCATTCTGTACTGAGCACCGGATGTTAGCTCAGTGTGTGTGTCATATGACCCGTACTGGAAGTACATGGGTGGA